AGAGATCCGTCGTAAGAGAATATATTAGTCTAAAGTTGTTTGGGTATTCTAACTATTCAATCGACTCTTCTGATCATACCCTGAGAGTTTCAAGCGGTTCGATTGAGTGTTTTAAAGAAGATTGGAGTATTTTAGCTGAATTGATAAATTTTCGTCAAAACTCAGTTTCGCTAGGTTTACCCATGTTTTCCTGAAAAGTAACATTGCCACAAGATTCAGTATAGTTGATAATCTATGTTTCCATTTACTTTACCTTTTATCCGAGATTACCTAATACCATCTTGGGACTCCCGGAAAAACTGATACCACACTTAAAATTACAGAGGCTGAACCTTCTGATATCGTATATAGTTCGGTTTGTAGGAAATTCGACGAGCTTTGAAATGGTATATAACACAAAATATACATGTTTCTTTACTAGTATAAGAAATACTAAAAACTGAAAGTGTGTCACATTTGTCCCTAGTCGATATATTTCTAGCCCATTTTTCAGAAACTGGCCCCACCGATCTTGAAATTCTAAACTTACCAGTTTATGGCAAATTTCATGAGCTCCAAAATAATATACAATAGAAAAATATATGTTTTCTTGTTTGAGAGAAAAAGAGACCACACACGCGAGGACCGTCTCCTATATTGTATACGTAGGATTATTCTAAACGTCCTGCTGCTATCAAAACACTGCGATTAACTGTTATTTTGCACAGAGTCTGTAGAGAATGTTAGGAGCTATCCAATAATATATTTACTTTGTCGGCTACGTGAAAGAAACATGAGAAAAACACACTTTACGTAACCAGTAGCTGATCTTTGAGGGATGAGCTATTAGCGCCCTATTGACGAAGAATTACTCGGATTTTAGATATCAAAAGTACGCGAAATTACTTAAAACCGAGTGATAATACTTTTCTACTATTTACAGAATCGTTTTTAGACAAAAAATAAAGTGGCCGATTATCAACCTTATGCGGATCCCTCCTTTCTCGTACAATCAAAGATGGTATTATAAGATATTGTTAAATCGTCGTTTTTCAATGTTTGATTATCAATTGTTGTAGCGTAAAAGACTGATAATAATCAGACAAGGTTTCGAAGAATTACTTATTGACAAACGAGGTGAAAAAGAAATATCTTTTCTATTATTTTGGGGCCCATTAGATAAACATCAACAACAATAGCTGGAGTGTTCTCATTTTCGGAATGCACTGTATAATCCGATTTTTCCTTTTGTTTTATTGTCCTAAATATGTCCTCTTTTTAATCAACTTTATCATTCGTATTTTAGTACCTCTTTTGACTTTTTAGATTTTCAGAAATCCAATGAAATGGTTGCTATTTACTTGCTAAGTTTTGTGATTGTTTATTTATCTATTAATATCGGTGAAAGTGCATTTGGATCAGGTATATTGGCACCGACTTTTGGAAGGTTAAATAATTTTCAATATGCAACCTACATACGTATGACATCCGAAGTGGAATGTGTTTCGTTATGTCTGCATTATGCTGAGACTAATTTTCAAAATTGTTACGGTGTTTCATATCAAAATGTAATGCAGCAATGCGATATTATTATCGAACAATTATCAACAGTCTCTACACCCAATCCAGTTATTGGTTGGTTATCCTATATAAAAAAAGCAGATTCCTAAAATATATGTTTGTCTCATACGATCATCACTTGTACCATATTAAATAAAAAGTAAAAAACATTGTTGAACGAAGAATGTTGCTAATTCACACTAGACAACATACAGTCACTTTTTTGTCAAACCATTTTCTATTATCTATTTCTTCTCATAAATAAAGGGCAAGTATTCCAAATCTCTTTAGTTACTTAAATTACCTTCCATTGAAACAGTTAACATAATCTGAATTGTTTAATTGAGAATATTTCTATTGGATTCTAATCATCTAAATATTGTTTTTCCTAATTGAAGTTGACATTTATGTTTACATTAGTCCATGCAGAATACGACTTAATGCACATACATTTCATTATATAAGCTTTTGTGCATGATTATTAGATTATCGTCCTTATGACAACTTTCCTATCGTTCATTTTCATTCACTTAAATGTTGTAAAGTAGTTGCTTCTTCTTAGTAGAGAGACTTTTGAGTAAAAACAAAATAATTTGAGGAGGGATCTACTTCTATAAGTGCCACAAAATATTGTCACTTTGTAGAGACATCCAGTTACATATAGTCTGACGTTTTTTTGATGCAATATTGATTTCTTTTGCAGAATTGTTAAATAATTATTAATTAAAATCTTGATATTATTGAAAAAAATTTCTATACTTCATAGAAATATGGGAACAATGTCCCTGCAGGGTTATTTCGTAGACTATTGTTAGTTGTACTTTTTTAATTCTGAGCATAAAAGTAATTTTTTGAACATCTTGTCAGCGATTGCACAATAACAGAGACTTTTCAAGAAAAATGTTCACTATCATACACTACGGTTACACTATGCAAATAATCACGATTATCTTTAATCGTGATTAAAAGATAATCGCGATTAAACATTTTCTAGTATAACCGTAATTTTCTTGGATCATGATTAATGATATTTAATCGCGATGAATTATGTGTAACCGCACTAATCAAGATTAAAAAGATAATTGTGATTTAACTCGTAGCTATTACTATAAATACTCAGTGTGCAAGAGAAAACTCATTTTTGTGTTGGCAAGGTTAAAATGAATACAGTAACACGTTTTAATCTGATCAATAGATTTGTTGACACCGACTACTAATAAGCCCTTCTTGTACTTTTTTCCCGGAGTCACGATTCCGATGACTAGCCATTTTATTCGATATCTTTTCATCTTAATCTATGAAAGAATATAGTAATGCCAGAAAAATTGTTCAGTAGGCAAAACAACGTTCAGCTAATTAGTTATTGCAGTTGAGCAGTCATATGCAAGCGCCGCTATCATGATCCTTTTTTTTCGATAGAGACGATTAAAGTTACTCACGATTAAATTTAATCGCGATTAAAGATAATTATCTTCCAAACATGATTATCTTTACTCATGATTTTCAAGATAATCGTGAGTAAAGTAGCGGTTACACTACTAGTTTAATCACGATTAAAGATAATCGTGATTATCTGCGTAGTGTAATCGTAGTGTTAGTTATAGCCTATATCATTCTACATGATATAAACGGAACGAATATTATTTAGTAATGATAAATATCGTTGCGTGTATTTGACATTCCAAGTAAGTGAATGGATAGACAAAGAATGAATGATGTACTATTACTTAATGTATCTCGTTGAAATGACGACAGTCACTACTGATACTGCTAGAAAATGTGAGCATAATCATAAACAATTAATTATTAAACGTTATTTACATGTTACTCAAAAATATATTCGATGATAAAATTAATAAATTCAATTTCCTTTTGCGTAATAAGCTATCGATTTTTTTGTTGCCGATTATATGTGCAATAAAATTTTGAAGTATCTGTACTTTGATGTTGTAAGAAGAATAGAAAAAAGAAGTTAGTCGATTAACATCTATGATATTGCTCAACTCTCAAGACGAAGCAAGAATATATTCCTGTTCTTTCTTTATCAATTTTTGACCTGTCTTTATTCTCAATATTGAAAATAGATGAGTAGATGTACCTGATGATCCATGATGAGTCAGAGGTTTTATGTACATGTCAAAGCATCTTAACCTCCTGGTAATCTTTTTAACATATATATCCGTATATAATATGTATAAAAATAAAAAAACCAAAATATAAAATTTTAAAATTTAAAATATAATCATATTAATAAAAAATTATAAACTAATGGATCTTCTTCTTCTTTTTTTCGGTAAGATAGGCAGGAAAGAATAATGGAAATTTTCACGTCGATTGGAAAAGTTCAGTCAATTCTTTCTCTCATTTATACGGAACTACGTGATCCAGAATACTTTCCTGTCTTTATTCTCGAATCACACAACGTTTTTACTCAATAAGTGTGAATATTGGTCGAATTAGGCCTGAACACGAAGGAAAATGAGGAATATGTTGTAACGTAAAAGTTTTTGCGAAGGTAAAACTTTACTGGTTACATCTTATCTTCAAACTATCTCATTTTATATTCATGACAAGACGGATAAAACATTTGAAAAAGACTGTATTGTACCATGGATGAAACTTTGATATATAAATACTGCGCTGACTATGCTCTCCATCTTTTGAGACAAAATCGTCAAGCATGTATGCAGTGGTTCATATTCGAGAATAGTATTAGAATGTGAGCTCACTTCAGTCAGAAGTGTTGTTTTTTTTTTCCAAAAGATTAATAACCATGACATTCATTGCACAGTGTATTTATTAATTACTAGACACTTTTCTTCAGATTACTTTAACTTTGTTCATATCAGGGAAGCACAGGCAGCCTACATCACTGAAAAGTCCGAAATGATTTTTCAAAAGTTAAAAGTTGATCGAAATCGGCAAAAAGTTAAAGTATTTATAAACCGGTTTCGGATTTATAAATCAGCTCCGGGTTTATAAATCTCGTCTAGATTTATAACTATTTTAAATTTTCGATCAAAAGCTAAAATAGTTATAAATCACTATTTATAAATCGGTTTATAACTCCACCTATTTCAGACTCTTCAATGGGCTACACAGACAGCTTCTTGTTAGGAAATAGAAACCATACTTTTCTTAATTCTTATTAATCAGCAGAATCCAACACTCTTACAAATTAGAGTTTGGCATGGCGTTGCTGTTTTTCCTTCATAAGTAGTGGAAAAGAATGAACTTTCATCGTTGCCATAGTGATTAGATCGGTAATCATTGGCTAAGAGAGCCATGTTAATATCACTAGACCGTTCCACCTGATCTATCGTGTCAGATTGCTTAGTTTCTTAAATGAAAAATAGAAAGAAAAAACTAGATTAATCTAGGATAGCAGCTGGTTAATATTTGTGATTATTAATCTTCTAAGCAGTAGACCCACATCTAAAACCGATGACTCGCTTTCGAACATGGATGACGGGGTAGTCAACTCCTCAACAGCTGTTTTTGTGCATGTATGTGTTTAACTTTACTTTTTATTTGTTTTTGAGCGCCATCGATATAATTTGAAGGAGATAAAAAGTAAAATAAACACGAAAAAAATAAAAACTATCTATCTCTAGGTCTTTGATGTGATATTTTTGTTTTCTTTCTCTCTTCTCTATAGATAATTATGAGTTTATGACCGCTTAGAGTATATCTTATCTTTATATCAACATCGTCACCGTGACGCTATTGCAGAAGCCTAGTATTTCTAAATTATTAATAAGAGATTTAGGAGTGGAATTCTAACGGTATAAACTCAATTTTTTCGTTATAGATACCTGACAAAGACGTGAGACCTTACCATGCCGATTATAATAAAAGTTGAAAACAATATCACGGTCAAGGTAACGATGCAAGTGATGTAAACACCCATATGGAAGATATATTCAATAAAAAAACCGGTGCAACTAGTTATTATTAATTTCTTGCTAAGTAACAAGATGTTAGTCAATGCTTACTTTTAAATGTTGTAGGTGATTATGTGGAGTCATTCTAAGAAAAAGTGACAATGTTAAACAAAAGTAAATTGAATATAGAAAGTTCAATAATAAGTTTGTTTTAGTCGTGCTCGTTTGAAAAGAGTTTTCAAACGCATTTCGTATCTTTGACGTTGTTGATGTGTTCTAATGCTCAAAGAAGAGATGAAGAGAATTGTTGATTTATCTTGTGCGAAGCGAAAAGAGAAACATATCATTTTTGATTTTAAAAATATCAGTTTATAAATGAAATTTGTTCAATCTAACTGAACACAAAAAGCAATTTTTCGTTATACTCATACACGACAGAGAGAGTGTAAAAAAATGATGTTCTTCATCGTTCTAATTTTCACTTTTTTGAAAGTTTTTACTCAGAATTGTTGGAGGCTTAAATACTTGTCCATAACTGCTAGTTAAAGGCCATATAAACCTTTGTTTCATATCATCCTTTAGAATATTCTTTTTAGATTAATTTTCTGTGGATCCGTCGAGTATGTTCGAGTATTCTTGCTTCTAATAAAACGCTATTTCGAGCAAGTACTGTACAAAAACATAGAAAGTGGACAAAGGAATTATTCTTTCGATTTATGTTAGTTTCAAGTATTATAACATATCGTCGACACCAGAGTGGTAAGAATAATCTGCTATGGAATAAATCTGCAGTGAACAAAATTTTATTTTTCTTATCGAAAGAGGATCAGAGTTTTTGAATGGTTTTTACATAAATCAAGAAGATAAGAATCCTCACCTACTATATTAAGAGACAAAATATGCTTGCCAATCTTTTTAAGAGGAAGAGAAATATAAATAAACTTGTTTTCAAACGTCATGCCTTTGCTTTATGTATGTGAAAAAATGACTGCTTTTTATCAACATTGAGAAAATTGGACATTGTCATTTATTCTTATACTTGAAGACCTTTGTAGGTACACTTCGAATGTCATTCAAAAGCAAAGATTGTCATTAAAATTATCATCGCCTATGGTTTCTGATGGCCTCTAGGAGGACACTAGTTGACGAAAAAATACAAAAAAAATAAGAAATGAAACAAGTTTTGTTACCAATATTGCAAACCATTGATCAGATAGAGACTAATATAAAACTAGACTTGGAAAAGAGTGTAAGTCAATATCTTTTACAAAACTATTGTGATTTATTATTGTTAAAAAACAAATGTAACGGTTTTTGTTTATTAAGTGGCTAATGACTGTTTCGGAGGACTGTTCTTAGTACGATATTTGAGAGTTAAAATTGTATCTATACGAGTATCTTTGTTGATCCGAATCCTGTTTTATTTCATTTTTTTTACATTAGAAATATATGTGATTGTATCTCTCTATCCTAGATGTTAGTATTGAATCGTTGAAATCAATATTAATCGACGAATTCGAAATGTTTATTTATTTTCGTTCAAAACCTTAGACAATGCATAACTTTCTTTTTATAATGCAATGATAAATTTTATTAGATATGGCATAATTAATCGGTTTTCTTCATGTAGTTTATACAACTTTTGATGTAGGTGTGTATTAAAACCTATCTAAGGATTCAATGTTATTCTTTTTATATTTTAGAGTGCGCAGTTAATGTCTTCATAGTCATTAATATTATGCTTGATTTTTGAACTTCTCGAATAATATATTTAAACTACTTTGTTTCTACATAAATTCTAGTCATTTTTTTTTCGTACTATGTTGTACCGGTTTTTTCGTCAGATATTATTAGTCACTGTTTTTCGACTGTGATAATTCATGACGATGATAACTGTAAATATGAAAATTTTAATGTTTGTGTTTTCTTTTATCAAGGTGTACTAGCAGAAACAATAGAGGTTGAACTTATTTAGAAAACTGAAATCATGCTGATTCTACTTGATTGTAACTATTTCGAATTAGTTATTATTAGACATGAACAGTTAAATGTTAGAGTTGTCACTTAAGACAAAACTCTCTTGTTGTGTTTTATTTTTGTTTTATCATATCAATCTAAAGAGTAAAACTAAGAACAAAAAACTCATTTATAGATTTTTGATGTAGTGTTTTGCTTTTTCAGATTATTTTGACAAAAACAACATTTTCTCACTATTCTTATTTTTTTAACTAACAACCATCATTACATGTCATGTCTAACCTGGATTTTGAATTAGTTGATGCTTCTGCTACTGAAATATCTATCAGAGAATTAATTCAGTCACCCACATTTCGTTTCAATTCAAACGGAGCAATAGTAAAACCAATTTTGACAGGGTATTGCTTCAACTAGTATCTTTTATTTATATTATAATTTAGATTTTTCTCTGTTCTAGAAATAAACGAAGTACTCTACGACAGGATGACCAACAGCGTGTTCAGCAAGTTCGTACACAGTTGGTGAAACAATTTGTAAGTGAAAATCATCATATAATTACGAGGAAAAATCTAACATTTTTCTTTTTTTTGAATTAGGATGATGAAAAGCGCACATCGCCAAATTCTACGGGTACAAGTTCATCTCCACTCTCCTCATCTTATCTGAGTCGTTTATCATCTTCAACGGACAATAGTCCCGTACGTCCACCCGTATTATTACGAAATCAAAATACTATTCCATCATCAACCGTTCTTCCTTCATCTGCTTCTTCCAACGGTATACAACAATCTCCAACAAAACAACTTGATTCTGTAACACTATTACTTAAACAAGCAATTGTACCATCACAAATATTTCAAGTAAGTTCAATTGTTTTTATTGTATTGTGTATTTTGTCTTTCGCGCTTTTTTTGAAGGTACAAACACGATTGGAAAATCCAACAAAATATCATTTGGAACAAATGTGTCGCAAACAATTAACCGATGACGACAACGACGACGAATCCTTGTCGGTAAGTAGAAGTAATTTATAAACTTTCATAGTAAAACTCCTTGTTCACTCTCAACTTTAATAAGAACTGATTTGTTTTATGATATCGTTCTTTACTTCTAGTTAGAACAGCCACCACAACAACATCAACTATCATCTACAAATCAAATACTACAAGATGTCTCATCACCAGAGAGTGAACGAAATTCAGAAGTAATGTCAAATTCTATTGAAAATGTAGGTGATATCTGACGCAAATAATTCTTTCTAGATGGATGATCAACTTAATGATGATACAACATGTGGTAGTTTGGAAAGTGCAACACCATCCATTGATATAACGTCTCGGGTAACTATAGTCTTTCTGACATGTTTTGTGAAACATCAATGTATACTTCAGATATAATAGGAAGTCTGTATGGAATGTAAGTTTGAAGCGAAGAAGGTAGATTTTTCTCACTGATTTTCTACACGAATCCTCTGCCTATACGTGACGTTTCATCACGGACGCTAAGGGTGTCAGCTTCTGAACAAAAGAAGTTTTACTTCATTTTTATGTTACGCAAATTACTTTTCAGTATAGAAGATCATCCTGTAATAAAAGACCACTTCAAAATAGACGACTAATCTGAACGATTTTTTACTGAACAATTCTTTGCCCTCTCAGGATTGTTTATCAAAAAGCGAGATGAGGTGGTGCACAAGATAGAAGGTTACATATTCTTCTATTCTAGTGATAGAATGAGTTAACAGTCATAATCTGAATTTCTAATGTCGATTCGAGTATCCAAATTATAGAGACTAGGTGTAATGTATGAAGTGCTTCCAGGCTTTTTTTGTAGAGGTTGTTGCAATATTTCTAGATAGTGCTCGAAAAAGGTTTAGTTATATGTGAATTCTATAGTTGCGAATGTTTTATTCACGATGGAAGCTTTTCATGTGAATAAATTTGACGGAGCATACATTAGTATAGACAGATTAAATAAGAATACTTCGTCTTTAATTAGTTATCAATAATAAGTGTTACCCCTCAATCTTATCTTTAGACACAATAATCTACAATAATACGCTTTTTTTTAGGTGAATGAACACTATCTAAACCTGTACATTTGATTTTATCGACAAGCTAATAGTTGATTGAAGATTCATTTATTAGGGAAAAAAGACTATTTGTACTGGAGGATAAAATCGCACTGATAAAAATTGAAAACTGTATATACTTTAACTCAGTGGAGGAGACATTCTTGATTTTGCATAAAATCTAATATACAATTTTGTTACCATATAGCTATTTTTCTATTATACAAACTTTAGTTATCCACCACTGTCGTTGATGATCATGCATCGACTTATCTCTCATCACCAGCTTCGAAAGAGGGAATGCAGCGGCATTCATCATCGTGTCCAACAAATATGTTACGTGCTAAAGCGCAAATTGGTTTACCGTTAACCGATGAAGAGATCCGTCTTGTTATACGTGATAGACAAAAGAAAGATAATCATAATATGAGTAAGTTTTATCATTCAAAAAGAGTTTGTTTATTTATATTTTCGATTTTTTAATTTCATAGTTGAACGCCGTCGTCGATTCAATATAAACGACAGAATAAAAGAATTAGGCGCATTATTACCAAAAGGCACAGAACAGGACATTAAACAAAACAAAGGGACAATATTGCGGGCGAGTGTCGATTATATTAAAATATTACGTCGTGAATATGAAAATGCACGCTTAATTGAAGAAAGATGTCAGATGTTAACGGAACAAAATAAGTCGTTACAAGATCGTGTCAAAGTAGGTTGTTTCTGATTTTTCACGTCTACGCACGAATCATTAGAGAGATGGAAGTCCATGGAATCCATAAAAAGTCATACTTTGGCTCTTTATTATGAGAGTAATGAGAGAAAGTGCAGAAACATCTTGTGCATCAACTTTCTTGAAAGAGAGACGGCATTGAAACACTAAGTCTTGCATGTTTATTAATATTTTGATATGTATTCGTTTTTAGGACTTAGAACAAACATGTGTAATACATGACGTTGCCCTTAATTCACCGAATGCAAAATTAATTAATAGCAGTAGTAATATTAAACAAGAACCATCATTGTTACTATCATCTGCTAATATTTTATCATCGTCTTATAATCAACTTTTGGCACCTCCATCGACGCCGGTTTTAGTCGATTATCAACGACATTTAAATAATTTATCATTTGGTGGTAATGGAGATGATATCAACGAAGATCCTCTTCCCACGGATCCTCTTCTTTCATCTACTTCGTCATTTAATTACGGTGAAAATGATATGGATATTGGTATGGGTATGGGAATTTAATTATTTGTTTGTACGTGTATATTGATATGTGCTACCTCAGAAAAATCAAGCATTGATTATTGTATCTTTCGTGGTCTTTTCTGTCCTCCTTTTGTTAGATATGTGGTCCTCTTATATTTCTTACTACTACTTTTGCTCAATATTTTTTTTTTTCATATTGCAAACGAAACTTGTATATGTAGATTTGAACTCAATTTTTGCACTCAGTCAATGTTATTACGATGACATTTCGTGTGTGTTCGTCTTCTTTGTGCAATGAAGTATACATATCTGTACAAATGATACCACGTTTATTTCTTTTTTGAGTTACCGTTTATTTTTTATCTTTACTCCATCTTTACAATGTATCGTTGTAGATACATGGAGAAAATACTTACATACTTCACATGTTCTATCCATTTTGAAGTTTTATTTCTTTTTTCTGAATTATACTGGTATTTTTACGCCTGTTATATACACATTGTGACATTAGTTTCCTATCTTTGCTACCTGTATTTAACTAGGTTTCTTTTTTTTCTACTGCTGTGTGTATGTATGTGTGTGTGAATGGTATGGTGCTGCTAATATGAATTAGTCGTTTATATACTTTGCACAAAATTTTAAAATACGTATGTTAAGTCTATTACTCTAAAGCAGAAAAACCATCTAGTCGATCTATGCACGTTAGTTGTTGATTACTATGTATAACGATATTTTATCTATTTTTGGATAAGTTAGAGTATATCATAAAGTATCAAACATCGATCTCTGTTTTTCCAGGTTAGATTATATTGAGAAATTCTTCATTTTAGTTTAATGCCACCTTTCCAAGAGTGAAAATTTTCGTTTATACCAAATTGGATAAATTCTATTTGTAGAACGGTACGTACGGTTTTTCTAATGAACGACTTTTATAACTCTGTTACGATAACATGAATACAATCGATATTTTCTTTTTTTTTTGTATAAGCATTTTTTTTTCTTATTTCTATCTACTTTCGCAAAAGTATTACTACAGGTGTGTATCGAGAAAATGTACATTGATTTTTATTTTATTTGTTGTAAACTATAGACGTATTTTTTTGTTGTGTTTGTATTCTATTTTTGTGAAGTGAACAGTTCTCATGTTTATTTGCTTGCATTTTGTTATTCTCTCTATATATATTTATTCTGTTGTTACTATTCTTATTTACATAAATAAAACAGCATGATTTCAACATAGTGTGTCGAACTGCTACCAAAATAATGAAAAAACTAAAAAAAATCTAAGACAAAAGAATCCTCTACTGTCCAGAGGAAGAAAACTTGTTTGAAACTTCAGCTCAACATTACTGTGGAGTAAATAATTCTCTATCGAATGAACATAGAACCGAATCTTCGAACTTTCTTTAAATTCCATGAAGAAAGAAGTGTCGAGTTTAATCTAGGTCACCCGTTTTCCTTTTTATCACGTTTTCCTATCACTCTGATGTCTTCTGTTTTCTTCCATATTTAAATTCTTCGTTCTTTCTACGAGATTCTTTTATTTCTTTGAAATGCAGCAGATTTTTGATTAAGAGTCTGGTATAAGTACTTTTTTATTTCAATGTAAAAAAATATGTTTTCTTTCGAATGCATAATGTTAAAATTTTATACTATACATTATATACACAACGACAAGATGAATTTGTCTTGGCAGAAAAATAACGACACGTTAATTTCAATTTTCACTATTAATCAAAAAGACTATAAATAAATCGAATAAAAATGTCACATTAAACTAATGTTACCGTAGGTGAATCTTTTTGAGCCATAACTGATGAATCATTTGTTTCAAATATTATTTGTGAAGAAAATTTTTCTGACGGTTTCGGTTCAACATAGCGATCAAATTGATCTAACAATACAAATGAACGTTGATGTGGTTGTTTGATTTTATGACTATATTCACCATGTACTTGGTGTTGGTAACGATTTTGTTCATTTACATGAGATGATAGGGAATATGGATATGAAGATTTTGAGCATGTCGATGATTCCGTTGATGACACTAATGATAATAAATCATGATTAGAATTTGTGGGAAAAGATGATGATGGTGGACGATGAATATCAAGTGTAACGCTTTTTCGTAAATTTCTAGAAAAAATACAAACACTTTCGTTAATTTAAATATACAAGATATGAGAAGTAATTGATTCTGTACGAAAAAGATTTCAAATTATTAAAAGAAGCCTTACTTGATTAAGTGCGATACAGTATCTTTTTGAGCTCGTGATACATTTTTTCCATTAATTTTCACAATATAATCACCCGCTCTCAAGCCACATAGACCTGCTGGTGAATCACTATCGACTCGACCAACAAATGTGGGACATTGACCAACAACTTTGAAACCAAAATTTTCCGATCCACGTGGTATAGTAATTTGATGCTCTTCCATTTTCAAAACATCACGATTTATCGACGATACATGTTTTTCAACATGCTCAATAACTTTTCGATGGCGAAATATTCCCACATCATCTTGCAGTAAATAAAACCAAGCACAAACCTTGAACAAATGTCTAAGTATTACACACGAGAATCACGAATAAATCTACTTAAACATACTTTATGTTTTTTCAACAAATTTTTGATACCAAACGATAAACATCCTTGTAGTTGAGTATTTCTATATAGAAAAGCAATAATAGTAACAATAATCATAACTTATTATATTGATCGAGTGAAAACTTACCTATTATTTTCATAAGATTCATATACAGATAAGCAGACACGTTTATTTAAATCATCATCGGTTAATTCAAAAGAAAATTTTTCATTAAATGTTGAACTATTATTTAAATTAGGAACAATACGTGTAGTACATTCCAACGGTTTTTCATCCGGAATAATCGTAATTTTAACGAGGATATTCGAACAGTTTACGTTCTGTTTTATTTCGATATTTCTCACCTGCATAACTAAAAAAAAGAATAAATTATATATATGTTATGGTTTTGGTACTGTTTCTAGATAATAACGGCACATACTTACTGTGTAATGTCAGTAGATTTCCATTTGCTACGAGACTCAAGTGAATTATGCCTGAAAAAGCAAGAAACATAAAAAATAAAATTTTAGCCGTGTTGTTAACATGCTTCTTTCAGCTTTTTGTTGAGAAGAGAAAGCAAAAAAGAGAAGCAAAGTCAACAGAATTTGGCTAGTATCTCATCGAATTTTATCAATATAACTCATAATCAGTTTTATCACAGAAAAAACATCTACCTCGATTTAATTTTAACGATAATTCTTGGTATTTTAACTTTTGCTGTTCGTACATTGTCAAATTTAATGTTGACTTCTTGTATTGATGTAACTTGTTGTTTAATACAGATTTTTGATAGAGCAGATACTGGTTTTGTCTAAATGAATAGTTTTGATAATGTGACGGTGATGACGCGGTACTTGAACTTATTATTGAATCATCAAAAACGTTTTTGTTTGGTTCTTGAGTTATTTGTCTGATAAATGATTTAAAATTCGGTGATGATAATTCCGAATAATTTGATTTTGATTTAGTATGTTTTGAAGTCTTGGAATTTAGTTGTAAAGATTTCAAGTGAGGACGGAACATTTGAACTACGATTAGAACAAAAAGATACGTTAATATTGAGAATATTGGATTTAAAACTATGATGAAACAGACGATTATTAATAGTCAATGAATCATGCATATTAAAAAATTAAACTACTTTTCTTACCAATGGCTAAGCTTCATCCAGGTATATCATATGTAAAATGAGAATCCATTTATCCAAAACGTTCTCATGGAGTTTCAGTCATTCTCCTCTAAGCACTCTTGTCTACAGCAACCGTGACAAAAATTAGTTATCAGATCTTCAACAAAGAATCTATGTTCTGAAGAAATTCTATGAAAAAATCATCTTTTCAACTGTTTTTTCACACATTAAAAATAGTGTCCCAAAACAGTAAGGATTTTTTGCTATTTAGATCAACTGAATATCACGATTCGAAACAAAGCTACCAAAATATACGATTAGTAGAAGTCATATATATAGAAACAATTATAGATAATTAGTATAATAACTTTAAACTAGGCTAGTAATAAGATATACATTATAAAATGACAGTTTGTACGGAGTTTTTATATAAAGCTTTGTATTTATAATTAGTTATCAACAGCAGATATTTTCTGTTTCAATTAATCACTTTGCCAACTGTTTCTTTTTATCAAGTGATATTTTAAAATTGATAAGTGTCCCATGATTAATAGTTCATCCACTTCATAATCGAAAATTATTCTATTTTGTGTAAACAGTTTATATTATAGGGATGTGTGTGTGTTAGGCAAGCAACAGTTTTTTTGGTTTGTATTTTCGCAACAACGAACTGTGAAATTTTCCGAAATTAGCAGTTGTAGAGCAAACATTTCTTTAAAAGATGGCATATAGCAGATATTTTTAAAGTTGTTTGGTTTCTTTAAAAATGTTTTTGATAGAATGACCTAGCAGTTAAAACTGCGATTAAAAAACAAACCATTTTTCGAAAAACACGAAAAAAAACTGCTTCATGCGTAGTGGGTGCATGATCTACAATAAATGACACATTGTCACTATTTTTTCTTCAACTCTTCTTGTTGCTTGAGTGTCCAGAGTTAAGTTATTTTGTCAAATAATACAACAAGTTCTCAAACTATTTCTGGTGTACGTCTTTTTACAGCATGTTTTAATTCTTGATTGAAAGTTTTTTTTTTGTAACCTTCTGAACTATTGCATCTGAAATAGTTTGAGAACTTGTTGATGTATTATTTGACAAAATAACTTAACTCTGGACACTCAAGCAACAAGAGTTGAAGAGATTCCAGATGAGCCGTTATCTCTCCTATTACATAGTTTTGATTGAGTAATGAGTAGTGGAACTCAATGAAAGCTTATTTCTTCTAAAGATACTATGCAATGGAACCAGGCTATTCCACTAAGCTGTCAAAGTTACTGCGATAAACGCTTTACACTTTCGCACAGGAGAGAATTATGTGATAAGTCCAAGTCTAACAGCGACTTGGACAAGACAAATGCGTGAGTGTTCTAGAGAAAAGTCTGAAGTGCGTTAGATGGAGGCGAGTAGGTTTCTCAGGCCTCTGGAGTGACTCTGAGATATCCGACAAAATACAATCAACTCCTCGCGCAAAAGCCCTTGTTCTAAGCATGGTTTATATACAATCTCTGCGCCTGACTCATCTACGCAGTCATTTTTCAGGGCTTAAATAGAAGAACTTACTTTCCGAACTTTTTCCAGATCCGTGCAAACTATCTAGAAGATTTCAACCGGTCTCTCACTTTACCTCGTACTGGAACAATAAAGAATACTCACTTGATTATGGATGTTTGAGCATTTAATTTTCTTGTATACTTGAAATTCTCTTGAATGTATGTGTAGATGATATGCTGTTTAAGTGTTTATCTCCTTTACGAGTATTAAACTTTGTTTAATGTCGTCATATAACTGTTATAATTGCCACATGGTTTTAGGTCTTGTATACATCGTCTAGTCGGAAAAATATTTTCGATACGACTGTGAGTCACACTAAACATCATGACAGAACACATTAAAACATTAGTCCCTGATCTAGAAGAAAACATTTTTCTAAACTGACATTTGAAATTCTTTAAAGATTTTTCGAATAAACATGTGTTAACTCATGTCCAAATTGATTTCTGACAATCTTCTTCATCATCAATGTAGATTGTGCAAGTTGTTTGCGCAGATGTTAACTATCTTTTGATCATTAATAGAATCACTTACTAGATAGACAGCTTAATATTATAAATCAAAACGTGTTTGTCGTTTATCTAATGTAATAAAACTATCAAGACAATAAAAGGGTTTTGTTACTTATATCTTCGTCTTTGCGTTAAATAGTTCAACAGGACAACGCCTATTTTTAAGCCATAGCCATACTATTCTTTCGCTCTTTGCACACAATGCTCTTTTTCAATGTCGTACTAATTCTAACCGGAGATCACCACGGGCCGAGAAAGAAAGCTTGTGGTCCGAGCACGGCGCGGCTCAAGGACAAAAGATGGAGGCCCGAATCCGACCCGACCTTTTTCAGTTATTTACAGTCTCTTGCATCTTTAACGCAAATAGGCTTGGTTGACAAGTTGATGTTGCAAAGATGACACTAAAAAGATCAGTACTTGTTGTTGATTTCAATCAGAGTTAGGCAGCTCCGGCATCGGAGCCGTCTCCGTTTATAATCGGAGCCGGAGCTGGACGGGAAACGTTGAGTTCAGAGCCGGAGCCGGTGTGCGCGTTCGATCGAGGTAAAAATGACACTCTTACGGCAGATAGTAATATAAGTGAGTGTGCTGATGACACGTTAATATATGCTGCCTCAGTCTTGACCTCCTTCTATTAAATATAACGCTGTCGAAAGAAGATTCTTTATGTATATATCATGCAGTTATAGAGTATATGTGTACTTCAAAAAGATTTTTAGAAGAACAATAGTATATTTCTCTTTCTCTCTCGGTTTTTTGGTGCCGGAGCCGGAGCTGAAGTTGCCCAGCTCTGATTTCAAGTTACGGTGTACGTCCCCTCAAATATGATTTGACCTCTGTTCTAATTCCTTCTCATGTCGTCGTCAATCGCGGTTAATTGTTGATTTTAAGCGATTTAATAATCTTCACAGTCATGTTAGCCTGATGATGATACTGTGAAGTATCGAAAGCTCGCTTTTTATGTAAAATGATTTTACAAAAATGTTGTTCAATTATATTAAATATACTTAGTTTAATAAGAAACATAAAAAAGTCAAATGTCAATATAAGCGATTAAATGGTTTTTTGTTATTCATCATTTATTTTGGAGTAGAGTAAATATATAAGAAGCATGACTTTAACGAGAAATACTCTTTTTTTAGATCATCTTTTCTAGATTAAAACAGAGTTGCCAAGAGTGTTCTATGTAGTCTCCTCAGAGCTGACTCATGTCAAACAATAAGTCTGTGAATTGCTGATTTTTAGTACATGGGCTGGTATTTTCGCATTTTCAACTTGTGTAAGAGAAGTTTATGATTTTTTTACTTAATCAAACGTCTTATTCATATCGAAAAAGATACCAGCCGCCTTAATCTTTTGAGAGCATTGACGTTATGCGTAACGTATCTTAATGAATCTATTGTTGAAAATTTCGTAGGAAAACCGAATAGTATACGATCAAAAAAGTTGCACTTGTTGAGATGTAGTACAATTGTGTCCAACATCATCCTTTCCAACACTTCGCCCACATTAGAGAGAAGAGATATAAACTTCTAATTTTCAACAGATGAACGATCCCTTTTTTATGACGAGGCAGCAATAATTATTTCGTTCAGCGCTCTGGAAACTATCCAATGATATGAAACTGGTGGAGAGATACGGCCGTTGTAGTGAAAGAATTTCGCTGCTTTTTGTAGGAGCTCGATTTTACTAACCTTAACTTTAACTAATTTTGTTGAATTTCTGAATGGATGAAAATACTCCATTCAGCTAAAATTTCAAAAGTTTTTCATAGTGGTAAAAGACCATCTAATGTAGAGGTTGGGTTTGAAAGATACTTATTTAATAAATCTTCTGTTGATTTATAATCACCAGCAACTATCTCCAAAGTTCACTATTGATGTTATATCCGTTTTATCTTTTCTATACTTGATTTCGTCTGACAAAAATCTACGTAAAACTGTAGACATCCCTCTAGTTCACACCTAGTCTTATTAAGAAGGAAGGAAGAGAGAACAACGAAGGAAAATAGTTTGTGTTGAGAACTTCTGTAAAAACCTCCTGAACAATTCTATGAAATTACAATGAGGCTATCGCGCGATTGTTCGCTACATTCGCTACTTTTTGGTTAGTGTTTGGACATCCCGGTATTTTGTTCAAGTGATAGTCTAGGCTAGCAACGGTGTAGCCGGGATTTTCTAAAGAGGGGTCAAAAATAAATTTTTTTCCAACTGATTTCTCATAATTTTTTTCTCTAAAACTTAAATTGTCTCTTTCTATCACTATCATCAGCTTGCTCTTTTTTGGTCTTTCAAATCTTAGAAAAAGACGTCCATCAGAAGTAGTATGAAATATTTTTCTAAGCGACAAACAATATAAGTATTCATAAATCTATCTTCTTTTGATTGTATATAAACTCTTCTTTTTGCCATCGAGCACACTTAATTTGTTTTAATGTCATAAGCTATAATACAATCTTTTGTCACTTGTAGATATTATCCTGCTTTTCTTCTTGTAACAGCACAGATAGATTACAAAAAAGATTAATTGGTTTGATCTATTGTGTCTTGTTACTATAACATAATCATATTTATGATGTCTTTCAATTTCGCTACATTATTTAGTATTTCAATAAATACTAAAACTTTCTTGCATTTACTTCTTGCAAAGCAAAGTGGTATGTTCATGCAACAATTGCAAATGAAATTATTGTTTCAAACTTCATTTTAATAATATCTAGTATATTTGCCTACTAGATAAAAACCTGATACTAAAAAAAATGGTGAAATTCCTTAAAAGTTGTTGAATAGTTTAAGACAATACGACCACCAGAGAGGAAGGAGATTAAAAAAGTGGCTAAAATCAAGAGTTTTCGAGTATAAACTTCAACTCCTTTATCTTTCAGAGATACAACAAAAGACGACCTTGCCTTGCGCCTCGCTTTATTTTTCTACGGTTTTGTGTAGATCGATAAGACCATCTTTTTCTTCAAATTCAATCCATATAACACTTTTAGTTAAGGAAATTTTATTTATTTCTTCGCACCTTGACATCTAAACAGTGTTACAACATAGAGACAGAAAGAAACAAAAGAATTGTGCACGCTTAGTTAACAAGAAAAACAAACTACAGCCACACAATGCAAATTTTGTAATTGCCTAGAAAGAAAACAAAGAACAAATAAGGAAACAAAAAAGGAAATAGCTAGATAAAAGAGAAAAATGCGAATACAGATACTGAAAAATATTCCACAACATGGTTTATTTGCAAGAATAATTTGTGCTGTATAAGTGTAGAAATAAGTCATCATGCGAGAAACAAGACGAAAAATTTAGTCTGATGATTTTAACGTCTCATATAAATAAAACACTGGAAAAAAAAAGTTTTACTCGAAAATAAAAGCAAGAAAAAAACATTGTTTTTCAAATTACAGTGAATAATCTTTTTCTTGTTTGTGCGGATATATCCGAATTGTATACAATATTGTTTTAATCAACTTCCATTGACGATTGGGATGTTTGTGGCTGTTGTTGATCTTGGCCTTGCTGCTGCTGCTGTTGATTTTGATTTTTCGATGGAGATGCTTTTTTGTCTTTTGGATTATCTGCCTTTTTCTCGTCATCTTTCGGTAGTTCAACTTTTGGTTTTGGTTTATTTAATATTGGCCAGCAAAAGTTGTCCAATGCCTAAAAAACAGAAAAGAAAATAGCAGTTTAATAAAGATTCACTAAACAGCAAATAAAGTCAGCGATCAGCTACTTGAAATAATTTTGCGAATTTATTGACAGAGTACTAGACTTAATTTAAGCTTTTAAAGTCTCCAGTATTTGTTGCTTCATCTACTATTTAACTCAGAAGTTTAACCCAGTTAAACGGATGCTTAACTGGCATGTTTTATGATTAGACTTTAAACTAAATGAACCTGTTATTTATTTACCTCGCGTTCTTGTTTTATTTGTGAACATAATATTTGTGGATCATCAGATAATTTTTGTGATCGAACACGATTCATCGACTGATCGTACCATTGTTGCTTTTCATTCAAATATTTATGAACTTTTTCAATATCTGCTTGTTCTATATGTGAGTATTTTTCATTTTTAGAACGCCATTGTTGTAGTGCTTCATCAATACGCTGTAACGATTTTCCGAGTGCTTCAAAATAATGTGTACGATTTTCTGCTTCCGTGTAACGTTGTTTGATTGGATCACCGAGATTCTATAGACAACAAAAAAAATACACTGGTATTTTCAACAAATCTATTGGAAATCAATCTTACTTTTAACCCTTTTAGTCGGTCTACATAAACATTTTTTTCTTGATTCATTCCTTCATCGTATAACCAGTCTTCCGTCGAACGTAAATCGTTTAGCAATTGTTGTTTATGTTTGTCATCGCTATATTTTTCATATTCGCCACCATCAAGTTTACCACGCATATCGTAAACATATTCTTCAACGGCATTTTTAGCATCAGAACGTTCTTTTTCTTTTTTATCTTGAGATATCATGTCCAACTAGAAAAAAAGAAAAATTTAGTCTAATCTTTTCAATTCAACGAATGTAATGAATAATCACTTCGGCTTCAATAAGACGATCTAGTTCATTTCTGCTTGTTACTGGAACACGCGATGTTATTGGTAGCTCAATTTCTTTCTTGCGCGATTTTTTCTTCGTTTTGTCACCTTTCTTCTCCCCTCCTTCATCATCATCTTTCTCCTAAATCAAGAATAAATTAGTAATACATATAAAATAACAAAAACATCCTAAATGCAAAAAAAATCACCTTTTCATCATTTTGAGCATCACCGGTATCGGTGGGCAACGGCTGACCATTTCCCTAAAAAAGGCATAATAATTCTTTTTTAGCACACAGAAACAAAAGAAAGAAAAAGGAAAAAGATAAGCTTGCCTCCTCCATTTGTTCGACTGGTGTTGTCTGATCACCACCGTTTGTTTCCTGTCCTTGCGGTTGAGGCGCTGGCTTTTGTTGGGGTGTTGTAGGTGTTGGGGCTGCTTTACCGTCTTTAGCAGTTTTATCTGTGTCCATTGCTTCTTCTAAACGTACATTTATTTAAAAAAAGGTACACAATGAAAAACTTTTTCTCACCAATCACCGCCTCTTCTTCAACTGATTCAATTAATAGCGCTTGAGTAATATCAAATATTCCATTTCGATTCAGACGAACTTTAACTTTGATTTTTGATGGAGTACCGTCCGGTTGTGGCTGAATATTTTCAATGCAATATTGCCCTTAAAAATAGGCAAATTCGTAATTACTTTGGATTTTAAGAAAATTCGTATTAATCTTTACCAATTTTTGACTCAGAATATGGAATATCATTTGGATATGAGTAACGTGCTTCGATTGTTAATGGTTCACGTTTATAAAACGACAACATTTTTGTTGATGGGACAGTATTCCATCGACTAAATACTTCAACTTCATTATCTTCATTGATTGCACCGTGCCATGATAATGTGATCGGGTATGGTTGACAATCCTCAATTTTAAATTCTTTGACTTTAAATGTTGGACTCAATATCGCACACATCAACGTACAACCACGCGCAACACTTTCATCAGCATTCATAGTTGTCATCGGATTTTTTTTGAATATATCAGAAACAATTTGCTTCACGACCGGTATGCGTGTTGATCCACCAACAATTTCAACCGATTCAATATCTTCAGCGGTAACTTCTACAAGAGATAATTGTGCTAAAACATTTTTAAAACAATAAAATTTTCTTTCAACCTACTGGCTTCGTTTAAAAGATTTTCGAGCACGTTTTTCAAACGATCCAGTAATGGTTTAGCTAATTCTTCAAATTCACTCCTAAAATAACATTATATGATTTAGAATACACATCAAATTTGACGGATAAGTTTACTACCTCTGAATTTTTCCATTAACATCTTTATCATCTATAAAACATTCTAAACCAACTGGTATAGGTTGTAAATTTGTACCCATTAATTTTTTTGTCTTTTCACATTCGGCTTTTAAACGTAATTTAGCTTTTGCTGTGCTATATGAGTCAAGTTTATAACGTTGTTTAAAATCTTCACGCATTTGATCCATGATAATTTGATCAAAATCACGACCACCCAACGATGGATCAAAAGCCGTTGCTAACATCTAAAAAACATTAACTAAGCTTTGCAATCTCTACTACAGCTAATTGCACAGTAATATTGTTTTAGAGGAGAAAGCATGTTAATAGCAGAGACAGTGCATATTATTAACACAAACCGATATCTGATGTTGCGAGGGAAAAAGAAGTTGAGGATCTACAGCGGAAACATACTCTTAATTTTCCTTTGTTAAATGCAACAATCGATGTTTGTAATGCTGAATAGCCCATATCGACAAATGCAATTAATCTGGGCTTTTCCGTTTGTTCAGGCAGATCAAGCTTATAAATACCATAACATAATGCAACTAAATAAAAAAAGGAACAGATGGCATTTTGAATTCTGTACAGACGAATTTCAAAAACATACCAGCTGTTGTTTCGTTAAGCAATCTCAAACAATTCCAACCGGCGATTTGGGCTGCGTCAAGCATTGCACGTCGTTCAGCATCAGTGAAATAGCATGGAACCTATAGAATAAGCAGTGTCGCGAACAATCAAAGATTAAATGTCTTTTGGGAGGAAAGAGGCTGCATCGAAAGATATCCACTTAGGTAAAAACTGCAAATTTGCCAGTATTGAAAGGATCAGGGTCTCAACATCCCTGACAAGATGACAAAACAAAAAATGTTTAATTAAATAAAGCTTACACCAACTACACAATCAACAACTTTCGTAGATAATGTTGATTCGGCTATGTGTTTCAGTTTTGTATACATCATGCCCGTAATTTGTTCTGGTGAAAAACGTTTTCGCTCATTAAGATAATCAACCTAAAAAAACGAACAGTATACGAAGAATTTAATAAAGATTTCGACAATGATAATACCTCAATCTGCACAGAACCATTATTTCCTTCGACAATAGAATAAGCATTTAATTGTTTTTCGCTTTGTACAAATGAATCGTTATATTTGCGCCCTAATAAACGTTTGAAATTACATATCGTGTTCTTCGCATGTGTGACTTCTTGAGCTAAAATAAACAGTACACATTAGATGATATATATACACGCATATGTACAAAAAACTGACCTTTTGATGCTTGACCAATTGCACGTGTCCGTTGTGCAAATGTAATGTACGTTCTGGGAAGAAAAAGAGGTTCAAATTTCAAACAAGCACAATTAATATACCTGGATACTACAACTTACGGTGTAAGCCGATCAGAGTACTCATTTGCAATAATTTCAATGCCACCAGCGCGCGCAATCCCGATGTAAGCTGAAAAGTTTCCTAAGTCAAGTCCGACAACCGCCATATTTTTGTGGTTAATTGTATGATTAAACGAAAGCTATGAGAAGATAGGAGAGCTAATGTGAATGATAATCTGTAATACACAGAAAATTAAGTGATGCTGCTGAAACGATTAGATACGTCGGAAAAGAACAGGGAAAAAGTCGTTTTATTTTTATCGGGCAAGGTACACAATGGGGAAGTCTCATAGAAGAATTAAAACAAATATTTAGAATAAATAAATGTAGAAAGAACACGAATTCTCGAGAAAACTCATTCATTGTTGATTAATGATTGGCGTCTTATCATAGTCCATTTTAAACTAACAATTATTACACTGCAAGTGAGATATGAAGCGGTTATGCATTCACACATCGGACAGCGATATGAATATTCTGTATTATATAAAAAAATGTGATGAAAGGACAAGAGATTTTTTTTGACTACTTTGAAAAAACAAGAAGCAACTACAGTTTGGAAGCTCGTACTCAACTTTTCTTTTGCTTTTGTTTGTTTTTTTACTTTAGTTTTTATCTTTGTAGTACGTGGACAAACAGCATGGACTGCGTCAAAAAGTGATTTTTGGCCACTGGAATTGATTGGATGAAAAGTTCACAGAAATTCACTTTCGAGCTTTTAGTCATAAATCCAAAAGGTCACCTGGATTCTTCCAGTCAATTCTGAGAAAACTCATATAGAGGGCGCTGTTTTGCT